TAACTTTTTTTTCTAATTTTTAAAAAAAAATATTATTTAACAATATGAGAAAATTTAATTGTTCTGCAATCCAATACAAACTATTATATGAAGAAGCCCTCAATCAGTATTAGAAACCCTTTTAAATTTAATAATTGCTATTTTACAATCTAATGCAATTCATTAAATTACAAAAAAAAGATTTTTGTTACATTTAAATTGAATTGATAAAAGATTTCAAAGATAGATAATTGAGATTTGAAAAAACGAGGATTATTCATATTATATACTATACTTGCTCATAAACATGCTTACTAAATAAAATTAAAGAAAAAAAAGTTATCTAATGAAAAGTTGATAGAAAAAGAACAACTTTTTAATTTCAAAATTTAAATTGTATGAATTATCTACAACAAAAAGAATTCAAAATTAAAACAATACACGCTTTTTCTTAGAAAGTTAAGGTAGAGAACGTTCAGGAAAAAAAGAAAAAAAGAAAAAAAGAAAAAAAAAAGTTTAGGTGGAGAACGTTAGGGCCTAGTCATCATGTTTACTCATTATATTTTTACATGTATTGTTTTCAAATTAAGTGTAGATTTTTTAGAATTCATTTATAGGTTTTAAAATAAATTAATATATTTCTTCCTAGGCAATTATATTTTTTAAAAATTTATTTAAAAGTTTTACAATAAATCAAGATATTCTTACTAATGTGAGATACAATCACATCAATACCTATAAATTAAGTGCTGAAAAGCACTAGAATTTCCTAGAATTTTTGGCTTCTTGATAAAATGTGGAAAATATCTAAGTTATACCTAATCCATTCTGACACTTATTAGAGTGTTGAAACTTAAATATGACGGAAATCAAAAATTTTTTGTAGTGTTATTTTCCTCCTATGTATTATCACTTGCCGTTTTAATTATTTAACTCTGGTCTCTTGGTCTTTCAGTAATGACCACCGAATGTACAGCAGAAAAAGACATAATTCCTCCTACTATTTGAAGTTTCTCAATTTTACTTTAATTTTATAATTTGACAAAAAAAAAAAAAGCAACTAAAACCTACCAAATTAGAGTCGAGTTTAATTAATTGAGTAGAAATAATGAAATTTACCATTAGGAAAATGCTAGGTATGATATGAAATCCAAAATAACTTGATACTGCAATTGAGATAACATGATACTTATGAATTGTGGTTATAAGAATACAAAATCATGTTCAAGGTATATGTTCAAGATATATAATTTTCCCAACAACTTTTAAAATTACAAGATATGTAATTGGGTAATCATTCAAAGGATAGCACATTTTCTTCTTTTGCAAATCTTTTTCTTCAGTTTTGGTGGCCTCAAAGCTACCTTTATTGCAGCATCAAAAACTACCTTCACATTCTGAGAAAAAACGGGACAAAGAAAAATTAATCCAAACACCTACGAAATCTAATCTGATTAAACTCTAGAATTGAGAGTATATGGAAATGTTATAATTGATACACACCATACCTGTTGAGTTTTGGAGCTGCACTCAATATAAGTTACTGCTCCAATCATTTTCTTCAATTCCTCTCCCTGTTCATCAAAGTTTTATAAATCTAAGCGAGAAATCAATATCTAAAATAACATACAAAGATCTTAAGAGGTTTCAGATTCAAATATCTTATTATTGTTAACTTACCTGAGCAGCTGTTATAGGTGTTGCTGTGGGATGATCACTCAAATACTGTTTATCATCACGCAAATCTGCAATTAATAGTGAACAAATGCATAGCAGAATTAGTATATACATTCAAAGGAGGGGAAAAAAAGTAACAAACAATTATGTATTAGGATAGTTTTTTAAATATTAATTACCTAGTTTTGTTCCAACAAGCACAATTGGTACATTAGGAGCATAATGTCTTAGTTCAGGTATCCACTGTCAAAATTTTAACAGAAGTGTTGAGGATCAGAAAATTTTATTTGGAAATTAACATAACTCTCTAATTTGTAAGAGGGCAAAAAGTAATATTACCTTCTTGTAGATATTCTCATAACTGGCCTTGCTTATGAGAGAAAAGGCCAACAGAAACACATCAGCTCCTCTGTAACTTAGAGGCCTCAACCTATTGTAATCTTCCTGTCCTGTAATAATTCACAAAAAATGTAATGATTTCAGTGGATGAGAATAAGGCGATTTGCAAGTACTCATAAGACTAGAATTAGATAAAAAAATAATAATGATTTTGGGCTATATAAACCATTTAGTTTAGATATACCCATGTAATCAACAAATGATGGAATTAATTATTACCAGCAGTGTCCCATAAGCCAAGGTTCACTATGCTTCCATCCACAACAACATTGGCACTAAAATTGTCAAATACAGTTGGAACGTAATCCTGTAAGAGGAATTTAAAAAAAAAAAGAAAAGAAAAAAAAGAATAAACATTGTAGCATCTTTCCCATGTTTAACATCATTAAGAGTATTTCATCTTTTTATACTTGAACTGACATTTATTTTAGCTATTAAGACTGAAAATCATATAAAAAGAAAATGTAATGTGTACCGTGGGAAAAGTATTGCTGGTGTAGGAAATGAGCATGCAAGTTTTTCCCACTGCTCCATCCCCAACTGTGACACACTTGATGAATCTTGCTGTAGTCATATTCTTCTCTCAATTCAACCAAAGAAAATGCTCCTCCTAGTGTTAATTTGATTGTTCCTTCCAAACACTAGAGTAGTACTATAAGAAGAAAATGGAGTAAGTTTGAAGCATGGGAAGGAATTAATGGAAGAGGGTGAGCCGGTGAGGGTGGGTATTAACAACCTGCAACTAACCTTGAATGTACTTGATTCCAATATAGAATGATAGCTTTGGGTTCATTTTTTTTTCTTTTTTTTCCTTTTCTTGAACTGCAAGGCCTTGACTTTAAATGGGTGAGAAATGAGGTTTGGTGTGGTGGTGTTGTTAGTTGGGTTTAAGTATTTTGGAAGGGAAAAGGAAATAAAGGAATGTGATATTATGATAACAACAAAGGACTTGTCTTAATTAATTAACTAATACACTGTGATGGAATTATTATGTCAACAAAGGTGGTGGTCATTAGCTTGCATGTTGGCCTTCTTAAATTTTTATATACATTTAAGTGAAAGTTTGTGATTTCAAATTACATTCTAATTGTCTACTACTATATCAATTAAAATTCAATTTATACAGGAGTGTGGTTATGGTTAGACAAAATTTTGTTAAGATTACACAAATTTTGTTAAGACTACACAAATTTTTTTTAGTTTAATTGCTATTTGTATTTTTTTTTCTTAAACAGTTAGTTCTAATATTTTCAAATATCAATTTATAAATTGATTGTAACTTATTAAGTAATAAATATTAGTAATTTTATTAATTATTAATTGTTTTTACAGTACCAATGATCTAAGTAATTTAGTGATAATCTCTTTGGTCTTTAATTCAAATTGTGTAGCATGCAAGTAAATAAGAATAAGGGACGGAAAAGAATTGCCTTTTGTTATACCCTAAATTGAGTTCTATAAGAATTAGAACACGTGAAGACATCCTAAAAGAGTCCTATTAAGATTAGATATGTTAAATGCCACTAGAATTAGAATATCCGAACACTAACCCACGTAAAATTGTAATCATAGGGTAATTCTATATAATATCTTATAAATACCCAAATGTTAAATCTAGTAATGGAGATTATTTCATCTTCATTCTCTCTTTATTGTAAATTCTCTCAATTCTTGATCAATAAAGTACGTGATTTCACACCATCTCTTCTACCTTTTAATGTTAACACCTCATGTTGTACAACTAACATAAAAAAAAAATATATATATATATATATATATATTTTTACAATCCAATCAAACAGAATGTGTATTTTTCAAACTATATTGTGTAGCCTTAATAAATTAATGTGTAGCTATAACCACACCTAACTAATAGCTAGTATTATAGGCAATCAAATCTATAAAAAATTACAAAATCTACCTTTTTTTTTTTGATAAATTCAAAATCTACCATTACTCTATTATAAAATAACTATCATTTTTTTATTTTAAATTTATTTTAAATTAATTACCATATTTTCATTTCTTAAGATATGTAAATATTTTTTTTTCCTAATTTAACCTATCGTTATCTATTTATTTTAATTAATTATACTATCGTAACATGTATCACTTTATTTTTTAATTTTTTTTTCTAAAGACAATATAAGTAAATACATGAATTATTTTTAAATACTTAATTTAAAAAAATATATATATAAAAAAATGACTGTTATGTTATTTTAAAGCGGACAGAATAAGAAAGAGGGAAAAAAAAAACAAAAAAGAAAAACAGCGTTAGGCCTTTGGAGATGTAAAAATTGATTCAGGTACTGAGTGGTGAGTGCTGAGCTGACCCATTCATGAAGGACATAAGACAAGTCCACATGGAATATGAGAATTAGACCTAGTCAAGCCCATTATTATTTTAAATAACCAACTCCAACTGCAGAAGCCTGACTCCGGATGATTTGGGTCACCAAATAGATTTCCATCCAATCTGCCCAAAGTCCTCTTATTGCCATGTCTACACAATGTCCCATGTCCCATGGGTAGAGGGGAAGGTGTAGAATTACTTTGTACTTTTCGTTGAGCAATATTGATATACACCCACTTTTTCCACTTTTTTTTTAATCATGTTTACATGTACATGATGTCCCATCTTGGCTCATTACTTTCTACCTCTTTATTTTTATGTATATACACATTTTATATAATAATTGTGATTAATATTTATTTTTTCATACATTTATATAGTGATAAAGTTTATTTAAATGGTGAATAATTCTTGTGTATCCTATAATTTTTCTAGCATATATAAGGTTTGTAATTTGTGACTTGTATGAAAAGATATGAAAAAAAAAAAAGAAAAAATAAATAAAAACTCTTCATTATCTCATTTTCTCTCTAATTAATATTTCTTATTCTATTTATTTTTAAAAAAAAATTATTTTGCAACATAATAAAGAGAATTTATATATTTTTATCAAGTGGAAAAAGTGCAAGAAGCCTCTCATCTTTTGTCATTTTTGAAGTTAAGTCCTTTAGTTATTATTTTTTTGATCTTCCAAATAAAATTTTGTTATTATATTAGAGTACAAAAGATATTACTATCCATATATACAATACTCAGAGCATCCTTAGAAAAAAAATCAGTGTGGGCCACACGTATCATGGGGTTTTAAATGTTCAACATTTTCAATCCTAGCTGGGAGTGACCAAATAGTTTATGATGAAGATAATATCATGATCCTACCTTGATGGAATTTTATTCGGATATATTGTTAGGTTTTTTTTGTTTGTTTTCCCTTGGGTCAAACCACGTGATTTTTACTTTTAGTCCACATCTAGGATCATCTTGTCACTTCTTCCAATCATCCTTCGTTTTCCTTTTAACAGTGGAAGGCAGATAGATAGTTTCCAACTTCCAAGTTTCGAGTTGAAGTTGAACCTCCAAACCAAACCAATAAATTAATGGGCCACTAAGGCTTGTTCTCCAATCATCCTTTCTTATCTTCAAGCCTAGAATTTTTTATTAAAAAAATCTCAATAGTTGATAAGCCAAAATGTAAATCAATAAAAAAATATTTGATAAAATATGAAATATATCATATTGTACAAAAGTAACGATGTTATTTTGATTTAACTTGCAATTGAGATTTTCTTTTTGCAACACTTTTATATACATTATATCATTGAATTTTTTTAATTTTAAATTGCATAATAAAAAGTAATATTTCCTCATTTTTTTAATTTAACCTACTAT